TTAAACCACTTGGCATATACCCAAAGAACTCTTCCTATTGCAGAGACACTTGTATATCCATGTTTGTTACTCCTCTTTTCACAACAGCTAAGAAATGGAAGCAACCTAAGTGTCCCTCAGTTGACGGGTGGATAATGAAAATGTGGTTCATTTATACGATGGAGGTAAATGGATGGAACTAGAAACTGTTATACTAAGTGAAGTAACACAGACTCAGAAAAAAAAAAAAAATCGATATATGGTCTCCCTCATATGTGGATCCTAGAACCAAACCCTGGTAAATGAGCATGTATCCAGACATAACTACAGGAACCAGGATAATGGAAAGCAAACAGGGAGGTAAAGGAAAAGAAAGAACCTCAAAGAGAACAGTAGGAAACAGGCCTTAATAAGGAAGATATGGATAAAAATTGGGTTAGTTTAAGGGAGGGGGGAGGGAAGGATATACAAGGAACTTAGGGGATAAGGGGAAAGAAGGAGCTCAAGAGAGGTAGGACCATACATAGGAGGGTATTAGTAAGGGAGAAAGGGGGGAAATGGTGGCACCTTAAGTGGGAAAACCATGATGGAGGGGTGAGACAATGTGAAAGATAAATAATGCCTAGCTAGTTCTGAAAACCAGAGGGAACCATATTACTCCTACAACCTACTGACAAATTATACACAGCAGATCAAGAAATAATATGTATAGGTAAGGTTTATCTGAGAACAATTGGTCTTTCCCCCAGATTTATCTACTTGACACACAGTAATTAAAAGTACCAGAGTGGTGGAACTAACCTTCTTGGATATTTAACAGACATACTTTGAGGCCTATAATAATTTGGTCAGAGGGACACAAAGGACAGTTTTTGTTCCTTGCCCTCCTAGGTTGACTAGTTCCAGGGTACTATGAGCATCTCTCAAAATGTCCTGTAATGGTGGTTGGTCACCTGTCCTCTTGATCAAGGAGGCCGAGGAAACCCCACGAGATGGACTTGAACCAGTGTCCAGTCTACAAAGAGGAGGGTCAGCACAGAGGAATCATTTCATCCATGCTTCCAAGCAAAGCTAATCATGGTCGAGCAGGACCTTTGACTTATCTTCACATAGGTGGAACTGGTAAAAGAAAGGGACCAGGGACTCCTCCCAAGCCCATGTGACCACTGAGGAACAGATCTCCAAGCAAAGCTAATCATGGTCGAGCAGGACCTTTGACTTATCTTCACATAGGTGGAACTGGTAAAAGAAAGGGGCCAGGGACTCCTCCCAAGCCCATGTGACCACTGAGGAACAGATCTCCAAATAAACTTAAGAGTAAAAATAAATTGGTTTACATGGGCCAACTGCATGGCCTTCAACACACAAAAGGAAAGTATAACCAAACATTAAAGCTGCCAATGTAATTTCTTAAGAGTCCATATGCATAGCTAAATGCTACATACCAAGCAACAATGCCAGATAAGAGATACCTCCTTTTGAGTTCTTGGCCAGGGTGGCCAAAGGGACTCCCAGATAGTAACCCAGCATAGAACTGGGAAAATGAACAGTAGACCCCAATCTTATCTAAAGGAGTATTGACAACTGATTGCTGCTAGATGAGGAACAGCTGAACCTCCTAAAACAAAGATCTCTAGACAGGCTGACTATATTCCCCAGAAGGGCAAGTAGTGGGGAATAGCTGGGGGTGCTGACAACACAGCAGACACTAGCAGGGATATCAGAGTATAATAGCTCTAGTGGGGGGAGGGAGGCTATGGGAGGTTGCCAAATGGGAAGTGGGTGTATAGTTGAATAAGATGGTTTGGGATGTTCTGTGTGATACATACATATACATACACACACACACACACACACACACACACACACACACAATCAACAAATTTTAAAAAATGTATTAATTTGAGGAGGAAGCAAGGAAGCATGGAAATTTATGTCATGTTAATTAGTAGAGGTGATAAATATTACCATTGAAATCTACCACATGACTTTATAGACGTACACAGGTGCCAAGGATCCAAGTGCAACTGATTATGACTAGTAAGTAATAATCCGATACATACAGATTAGAGATGCATGCACCAACATCTCAGTGCTAGTAGCAAAAACAATGAGTCTTTCTGCAAGGAACAATATATTCTAAAATGAAATGGAGATCTTTCATAAGGTTAAAAATTCATTCAATTTTATGTCTTACAGGGCTTATACTGAGTTCAACAATGTATAACTGTATTAATTCAACTGTGAACCTAGAAGCTTGCAGTCACTTGTAAAAGAGATGTCCTCTTGCTCTGGAGTGTGTTACTGAATATGCTAAGGCTGTAGTG